CCATGGGAGAAAGATGAGGCTTTCTACTCCCATAAAGATTTACACCCTCGGAAACCCTGTACAGGGTCGCTATGGGTCGGAACCGACTTGACGGCACTTAACAACAACAACAACATACCTGTGGGTATGATCCCATTTTGGAGTGAAATGTCTGTTATGTTAATGAGTCAAAGTTAAAGTGGAATGTATCTTGAGTCCCCACCTTCCTAGAGGGTGTGACTCAAGTCACCACCCTTAGTTTCTTTGGGGTTATGGTCTGCAAATTAACCACCATCTTTGGTATCTGTGCTAAAATGAGAACTTCCTGTTTTAATCTACTTCCTTTTTCCGTAAACCACTAGCTTCCTGCATAATTAGGAAAACAAGACGCTGACATAGATCTATCATGCACAGTAATGACCAGCACGTTCTCACTGATATTTTGATCTCATGAGACTGAAAACATACCATCAACACCCTGGGCACCAGCAATACACCATTTTTTAGGAGTTCTGGTAGTGCAGTGGTTACGAACTGGGCTGCTAACCTTAAGGTCAGCAGTTAAAATTACCAGCTGTTCCACGGGAGAAAGATGAGGCTTTCTGCTCCCATAAAGAATTACAGCCTCGGAAATCCTGTATAGGGTTGCTATGAATCAGAACTGACTCCACGGCACATCCCAACTGAGTATGTACAGATCACTAGCTCTTGTGCTGCGTCATACTGACAAACACCAATCAGATATTACTGCCCTAGAAGACCCTAATAAAAATAACTCAGGGAGCTGTCTTGGTGATGTGAGTCCCAGTGTGCTCCTTTGCTTGACCAACCAAGTAAGAGTCACTTCTTTTGCTTTGGATACTCTGTGATTCTGTAAGTCTCACAAAGCAAGACCTGGAAAACCAAGATAATGTTTTGGCAAAGTGCACTCTCTTACTTGGGACTGCACATCTGACTTCCCTTTGCCTGACTTCTGGTTCTTGAGACTTGAGCCAGCAGCCTATCACCTGAGCTTATTTGCCAGCTTCTACAGCCTTGTGAGTCAATAATAGCCTATCGTCTGGTCTGACCTGCCGATTTGGGTCCATCAACCTACACAACCATAAATGAAGAGAATCCTCTAGATTGATGTCTGAACTCGGAACCAACAGCCTCCACAACTGCATGAAACATTTCCTTGAAGGTTTGTGAATTCTGTAAGATGTTACAGTGAGCTCATGTGGATCGTACACATAGACCAAGAGACTGGCATTTGAACAGGACAAGGAGGACACTTCGTGGTTAAAATCATGATAAGTGTGTGTCAGGATTGCATCATGTATCCTTTCACCGTGTGTATTTAATCTGTATGCTGAACCAGTAATCCAAGAAGCTGGGCTATATGAAGAAGAATGTGACATCAGGATTGAAGAAAGACTTATTAACAACCTGTGAGATGCAAATGACACAACCTTGTTTGCTAACACGGAAGAGGACTTGAAGCACTTACTGATAAAGATAAAATATTATGGTCTTCAACATAAAGAAAACAACACAATTTCTCACAACAAACAACATCATGATAAACCGAGAAAAGACTGAAGTTGTCAAGGATTTCATTCTGGATCCATAATCAACGCCCATGGAAGCAGCAGTCAGGGAATCAAATAACCTATTGCATTGGGTAAATCTGCTGCAAAAGATCTCTTCATTGAAGTGTTAAAATGCAAAGGAGCACCTGACCCAAGCCTTGATATTTTCAACTGCCTCATATACATGCAGAAGTCTGACAATCAAGAAGAGAAAAGAAGAATTGATGCCTTTGAAATATGGTATTAGTGAATAATATCAAATATACCATGAACTCCCAGAAGAATGAACAAATCTGTGTTGGAAAAAGTACAGCCAAAGTTTCACGTACTTTGGACATGTTATCAGAAGGGACCAGTCCCAGAAGATAGTATGTTTATTAGAGGTTTACAAAAAAAAGAAGACACTCAACAAGATAGACCCATACAATGTCTGCAACAATGGTCTCAAACATAGGAATGATTATGAGGATGGCACAGGACTAGGCAGTGTAGAATTCTGTTGTATGTTGGGTTGTTGTGAATGGGAACCAACTCATTGGTGTTGTTGTTAAGTGCCATCGAGTTGATTCTGACTCATAGCAACCCTGTACAGAGTTTCCAAAGAGCAGTTGGTGGGTGCTTATCCTATAGTTCCACACCAGGTAGCTAACAACAACATTTGCAAAGGAAAGCATCTGAAAGGATAAACACCTACATGTTGGCGTTAGTTCACTGATTTGTGAATCTTTGAGTGATTTTTTGTTTGTTTTGCTCATCTGTATTTTTCCACTTTTTTCTACAATGAATATATATCTTACATACATTTTAAAGGGGGAAAAAGCAGGATTGTACTGATTTTTTTAATATTAACTTTCTATTATGAAAAGCTCAGGAAAAAAAATTCTACAGAATCTCCTGAAAGTAAAGCAAGCTAGCAAGCAAAACCTTACTTGACTCTAGAAGCTACAGTGTAATTATAATAAAACAATAATTATGATGACCATGGACACCATGTAAGGGTCTTCTATAAACCAAAAAAACAAGGTATGCCAGGGACTAAGATCCTGATTTGGTCTTTTAGTCTCTAGAGCTAGAAGACGCTAAATTTCTGTTCTTTAAAGTCACCTTTTCTTCTGTTACAGCATCACTAGGCAAGTTGTTTATAACTAGAAAACATGAGTAAAACCCATGCATTTCCTGGCTTTGAAATGGAACCGTCTACTCCTCTGCAGTTTTACATCAAACCCCTCTCCTAGACACCCACACTCACAGCTTGTTCTCATCCAGTTTACCAAATCAAAGCAGGATGGAATCATGTTTGAACACACAGTTCTGTACAAGGAAAAGGATGCAAACCTTTGACATGATTGTCTAACTACTCACCCTGAAAACACCTTTGCCTTAAAATACTCACATAATAAAAGTGGGGGATGTGTTTCAAAACAACTTGAATAACTAGATAATTATTACAATTCAGTACTTTTTTATTTTGCATATGTATATAACACTGATGATATTAATGAAAATAAAAACAATCCAATCCTGTACTAAACAAATTGTTTTAACACCTAAGTTCTGAGTGTTCCTAAAAGTTCGTTTTAATGTGGTAACAGACAAATTGAAAAACCATCTTCTATACCACTGGTCAATTTTTTCTTTCCCTGTTTTCTGTGGTTTTGATGTGAACACAGTTATGGAGAACATATTGGTAATGACAATACTACCTTTTTTATAGATGCGTTGGTGAACCCATGAGGAAATTTTCTCACCTTCCTAAACAAGTGTGCCAAATCTGTTCACTGCTTTTAGCAAACTGATTTTGACAACAACAGATATGTTTTGTACCTTTATTAATTTTATTATAAAGTCTCTGTCTTTTGGATTAAAACTCTAAAAGATGGGCTCTTACACACCTTACTTACACAGCCTAGATAAGCGATGATCTATTTGTGAAATTCTGATATTTTTTGGGCTATCGTTGAGCCATGATGTCTCTGACTTAAATCAGCATCCAACCCCAAACCCAGTCCGGATCCGCCGCTTCTCCAAGCCTTTGGCTAATTTCCTCACCTCTGGCAGAAAGCTCAGAAGGTTAAGGGGGGGGGGATAACTGACGGTGTCCTTTTTTTCTACTGGCTGAATATTGATTTCCTAGCACCCCAAACCTCGTTAAACATTTTAAGTGGTGTTGAAGCTCTAGTGTACAACCTTAGGAAGTACAAGATGTGCTCTTTAAAAACTCAGGTCTCAGAGCTCCATCCCTTGAGATTTGGATCCAAAAGATTTGAAAGTGGCGTTCAGAAATCTGTCTTTTGGCAAAAAACATAAGGCCACCCTGTCACAAGTGGTTCCTTGGCCACCCTTCAAGAAGCATTGTAGTGCATCCCTTCTGAATGTGGGACAATGATGTTTTAGCACCTGAGGCAGGATCTTGATGTGTCCTGATGGCATGTTTTGCTTGAGCCCCCTCTTCCCCCCAAAAACACCAAATTACTACTGCCCAAAGCAGTTAATCCTGGAGTGGCGTTGTGGGCTAATGCGCCAGACTGCAAAATCATTTGAACTGCAAGGTCGGTGGTTCAAGCTCACCAGCTGCTTCTTGGAAACCCTATACAGGGTCGCTATGGGTCGGAATCGACTCGACGGCACTCAACAACAACAACAAAGCAGTTAGACTTGTTAGGAACAGTCACCTAAAAGGAAGTTTTGCCAAAGTCTCTCTCTTGGTTCCGGCAAAACTTTGACCTCATTTTCCTGGGCCATGCACACGATTGAGAAGCACCAAGCCCAGCTGCTCTCGGCCGGTTACCCCACTTACGTGCCCACCACCAGGCTGGCACCCTCCAGCACCGCCAGGCTGCGCAGCTCTGCGCCTGTCAGAAAGCGCTCCCCACGCGCGCACACGAGCACTACTTGGCGCGCGTTCTCCAGCAGGAGGCGGTGGCCGCCCGCCATGTCGCCGAGCGCGAGACCACGAGCAGGCCGCCGGACTCAGGCTGTTCGGGCCACAGAGGACTGAGGTCCGCAGACCCAGCCGCCCAAACACTCGAGGGTGGAGCGGAGGCGGGCGCTCGCTACCGTTGCCCTTTGAAACCGTAGACGAAATCTCTCCACCCCTCAGATCATGGCAAGTACGCCTACAGTACCAACAGCAATAGGAATAAATACCAATAAACATTATAATGGAACCCCCTCTTCTGTGGTCGTTTCGTCACAGTCTAGGTAAACGAGGTAGAGATTTTCGTCCCTGCTTTACAGATAAGGAAACTGACGCGTGGTCACACGGAAAGGTGCAAGTGGGCTGCGTCAAACACTTGGCTGAGAGGACGTGGGGTGAAGGGGGTGGTACCGAGGGGTGATTCACGGACCAGAGCGGATGCGGGAATCGGGGATCCTGTGCCCAGGGACAAGGGCGCCAAGGGAGGGGGCAGAGTGAGGGGGACGTGAACCCAGAGCGCTGAGGGTTCACAGATGAAGGAAGCTACAGAAGCGGGAGCTGCGGCCGGCTTGTTGCTCTTGGGCCCGCGTGGCCGCCAAGCGGGTGCCACGGACTTTACGGTTGGCCAGCTCGGCTCCCGGATGTCCTACAAAACACCCAGAAATGAAGGAGAACCCGGGCCAGGGAGAGTAAAACGATCCCCAAGAACGGATTGGCGCTCCTGTCCACCTTTCCCCAACTCCTTCTTGAAGGATTGGTTGCAAATACTCGAGGATCCAAACTCGTTGAGGTAAAACAGTTTTCTTCCCTTCACCCTCCTCCAGCGGCACTATGGATCAGCACCGGACTGCTAACCACGTGGTCTGTGGTTCAAATCTACCAGTTGCTCCTTACAGGAGCTTTATGAGCCAGAACCGACTCCATGGCAGTTAACAACACATCTACTTGCAAGAAGTCCTGATAAATTATGTGCTCTGCTGTTCACCGAAAGAAGGCCAGATGAAGGCGGTCTGCTGGTCCTTAAGAGTTGGAATCAGCTGGATTGGATTTGTTTTGTTTTGTTTGTTTTTTGTGGGTAGTGACCAAGGTTGGAGGCAGAATCAAAGTTTCTTAAAGAAGATGGACTGTAATTCCCACCCACTTCGTACCCTGCTTATCAACTGCTATGGAAACTCTTGCAGATTCCAGGTTTTGCTGACTCCGCCCCTTCTTTTCTTAACTCTTGACCTCCACTTATTTTTTCAGTTTGAAAAAGGGGTGGTGAGGAATGTCAACAGAAAAATCCACACAAATTAGTTAGTTTGACGCCAGCAAGGCCTTAAAGGTCAAACTGAAAATAATTGCCTCATGGTTTTGCTCTGCTTCTGACCTAATCAGGAGAGGAAGGTCATTGAGCAGGCCAAGGACCCAGGGGCTCCTGACCTTAGTGTAAACAGAAAGCTCCTAGCTCTGGTCTCAGTATAAACCACCTAGAGATACAGCCAGCAGCCCTTCCTGCTAGAGTTTGTCCAATGTGAGAGGGGAGGAGATGGAAGAAAAAAAATGAAAGGCATTGATCTGAGAATCTCCCTAAATCCTCACTTTCATGTAAGAGATAAACAGCTTTTTATTTCTTACGTAGAGGATCTTACATCCATTTATGTTGGGTTGTAGAGAAGTTTGTGAAAATCAAACACAAACAAGTGTTAATTTTGTTTTGAGTTGGTCTAAGACTTTAGGATTGGATTTTATGAAACCCCATTTTTCTTTCCCAAAACCCCAGGGTTAGAAAGTTGACTCTGCACCAAGGTGGACACAAACCTCCCAAGTTTGCACTGATATTGCTAGTAGAATACTCTCAAATGACCAGATGGCAAAAATTTCCACTCAAGTCCTTCCCTAGTCTTTCCAGGAAATGCAATGGATCAGTTGTACTGGTCACTATAAATTGGAATCAGCTCCATTGGCAATAGTTTAGTGGGAGATGACAGCGGACTAGAGAGATATTATCTACCTCAACAACAGTATGAGCAGCCATTTCCCTATCATAAGCCTACTGTGAGTAGGTACTTTTCATATGCTGTGTTTGAAAATCAATGAGTCTGTAAGATGATAGATGATATGTGTCAAAGGACCTGACTCTGTGACCACATGCAATTGCACAAATGTCAGAGGAAAGTAAGAATTAATTAAAGCAAACCAACCAGCATCTGGATAATGCCTGCAGCTCCCAACAAATGTCCCTGTTCTATCCTCATCCCCTTCTGTAGTCTCTTCTCAGCACAGTAGTGATGATGCATTGAATAGCCCCCCCATCTCACTGGGTAAATGACCTACAATGCCCTAGTGACTTGGTGCTTGGTATCTCTTGGGCCTCATCAATCTCTCTCTCCTTTGCTCACTGTGTTTAAATCCCACTAGCTGTTCCTCAAATACAATAGGTACTTTCCTTCTTAGAAAGGGACTGGGAAGAAAGAGCATTACTCCATGCAGCATAAATGAGGACTTCCATGACACTTCTATGCACCTGAGGCTGTCCCAGAGGTGTCTCTAAAGGAATAGGAGGGGTGCAGACCACACTTTCAAAGAGGGTGACAAAAGAATGACTGATCATAAATTTTTGTGTATCAACCGAAATGCATTATTTTTTCAAAATGCATTATTTTTTAATAAAAACATCTCAGTAGTTAGTAATAACAATAAAAGCATTTCTTGAAAGCCCAGTTTACATGTACCAATATATATACAAGGTTAAAACTCCATGCTGATTTACTTTTTGAACCTTCTGATGTGCACCAATCAGAGTTGTCATTATGTCCCAATTACAATGACATTCCAATCCCATTGTTTCATCTGAACATGCTACAAGCATGCACTATTATTTTAAGTTGCTGCCAGTGTATTGCTTCATTTTCTATTCAGTAGTGTTTCTGGGGTTTACTTTTGTTAAAGAAAGTGATTTTTTTTTTTTTTTTTAAACTAGGGTTAGTCTTGGGGGAAAGTGTTGGCCTAGGGCTAAGAGTAAGGCTTGGTCTAGGTTTTATAGTTACAGTCAGGCTTATTTTTATTATTTTCTTTTTTTCTTGAAATCTTGATTTTCTCTTCATTTGAAAGTTCAGTAACTACATTAGTCCCTCTGTTTACTTTATGAGTATTTTTTTTGTTGTTGCCAGCCCACAGTCTACCCATTTTTCTTCTCTCTTGCTGCTCTTGTTCAGCTTCCTCCTCCATTTGGCACTCAATCCACCGCTCTGTCCTGTCCGCTGAAGCTCAGGGTTCCAAGACCACCATCTGTATCTGTTTCCTTCCGTCTTTATCACAGAGGGTCTGCTCAGTGCATCTGCCTACTCCGCCATCTGGTCCTGGAAGCTATAGCCATTGTTTTTTCATAGTCACTGATTTTGTCAAATTCTCTGATTTTTAGCGACATTAGTGTAGTGATTAGTATTTGTGAGCCTATATTAATAGCTTTTTTGGAATAAAACAATAATTAAAGGAAAAGGAGAAAACTAACAACAGGCTTCCACTTAGTTTCTAATAATATAATTCAATGTAGAAAGATTTTGCTAAATAATTTTATATTTTGCTGTTGTTAGTCTTCATATAATCTAAGAAATATTACATTTAAACAGCTTACATATACCATATATTAGCCTATGGTTAAAATTAATAATAAAAATTAGTAAGGATTCTGTATGGTGTGGCTCTGCAGGCTAATGTGCTATACTGCAAGTTTGGTGGTTGAAGCTCACCAGGTGCTCCTTGGAAACCCTATACAGAGTTGCTATGAGTTGGAACTGACTTGACAGCCCTTAACAACAAGAATATAGTCTGGAACAGAAGGAGGTCTGTGTGACACCAAATCTAATGATATCTATCACTGGACTGTCCAAAGCATTGGGCATATATTGATTTGTCTAACAGTCCCACTGGTGGTGGTGGTAGTGGTTGTGTGCCACTGAGTCGGGTCCGACTCGTAGCGACCCTGTATAGGGTTTCTGATGCAGTAAATCTTTATGGAAGCAGGAAGTCTCATGTTTCTCCTGCGGAGCAGTTGGTAGATTTAAACTGCTGACCTTGGGATCAGAAACCCATCTCATAATTATGCTTCCCAGGCAATCCCAGTCGGTAGGCATTATTATTATCATCCCTTTGTGTTGTTAGTTACATCTGTTTGAGTTGGTGCCAGCGCAAGAAAACCTTAGGCATTGAACAGTAAGCAATGTTGTCCAGTCCTGTGTCACCTTCACTATTGTTGGTATGCTTGAGTTCATGGTTGAAGGTATAGCTCACGCTTCATTTAAATATGAGAAAATTGAGGTGTGAGGATTAAACAGCATAGATGGGAGTCCATGCTCTGAAACAGTAACTTGTGCTATCTCCAACAACTAAGGTTTGCAGTTACATACCATCATTTAAATCCCTAATATTTTTGAGATCTTTTTCCATTGGGAGTTGAATTTGAACTTGCATTTTAAATGTGAATTTCCAGACATTTACTAGATAATCCAATGACATTTTCCCTCTCTTTTGGAACAGAACATTTGGTTAGCCACATTTGTTTTATTTTGCACAACAAAGATAATGACCAGTTTCAAGGCTTTCCTGTTCTGTACATCATATTGGTTTATTCCAGAAAAGTCTATAATTCCTTCCTAAGGATAGCTGGCTGGCTTTCTCGTTCTCCCTGCTTTAGGTCCATCACTGCCCTTTAATTACTCATAGGTGTTGTACTTGGATAGACAGTTGATTTTGGTTGCACGTTTATGAATTACTGGCTATATGAAATAAGGGCAGGTATCTTCTATTGATGGTTGACCTATACAAACAGGGTCTTTTTTCCAGTTTTTCTGTGGGTGAACAGTGCTAAGACCCATGACTAAAACTGCTATTGCAGATAGACTTTTGGGATAAAGGAAGCTGGGGTAAGGGTGGGGAGTGCATAAATTTAGATAAATAGAGGATTGAAGAGGTGTAACAAGAAGGAGGTGATTAAAACTATTGGAATGGGAATGAGTGCAGAGTATAAAATTATGAGAGAATCTTCTAGGAATCTTTAGTATCAGGCGCTCAAATTCTAAATACTGATCAAAACCGCCATCAGTTATTACCAACACTTCTGTTCCCCCTATTAGAATGAACCCCATCATGGTCAATAAAAGGTATTTCATCAGTGTTGTGGGGTTTTGTAAAAAATTTTTTGTCTTTTTAAAGTTTTGACAATTTCTTTTCTGCTTCATCTTGGTTTTTATAGTTGCTGGATATAAAATCACATAATTAATAAATATTAGTAAATATTAGAACCTCAAGGTCAGTGGTTCAAACCCCCAGTCACTCTGAGGGAGAAAGGTGAAGCTGTCTGTTCCAGTAAAGATTGAATCTCTGCAACCCTGTGGAGCACGTCTACTGTGTCACATAGGGTTGCTACGAGTCAGAATCAACCTGATGGCAATGGGTTGGGGGTGGGGGGTTTGCAAAGACTTGACAATACAACAAGAAGAGCATACAATGTAGGGATTGTTCAGACTGCTGTGAGATGCTGATGGAGTTTAAATACCTAGATTATTTTTCCATGGAAATCAGTGCATTTGCATTGATTTTGGTAACTGAAGTTTTATAATACCTCCTTAAATTTTATGGCCAAGGTGAGTGTCGCCCTCACCTAGCCCTAACCCAACCCTTATAAAAATGAAAGATGAGATTGCTTCAAATAACTGTTATTAAAGTTTAGGGAACAGTCTTTCAAACACTTCTCTGATTGTGCATGAGTTTTTATTAACACTATTCCAGGGTCACCATGAGTTGGAACTG